CTCCCTGAAGCTGGCAGCTCCTTTCCCAGCAGTATTGCCCCATCTGAGGAGGCCCTATGTAAGGGCATTTGCACTGGGCATCTCCTGTGTGTTACTGGGGGAAGGTGAAGAGGGGTGGGAATCAGGCCTGATACCTCCACTCAGGAGTCTGGTCCTCAGCTTGGGTTCGTGTTTTAGGCGACCTACGAGAGGAGCCTGGTGGGGTCACTGAGCCTGCTCGAGCAGGGCAGGGTCTCTGCCTGTTTGCACTAACCACTGCCACCTCTGGTTCTTTGGCAGAAAAGTCTGGAGCTGTGTGGAGATGGCTCTGCAGAGACGGTAACTGGCTTCAATGAATGTCCTGAGCTGTTATGGGGAATTTTAAATGCTGAATCAGTACTTAACCATCTCCTGCAACTCTTTCACCTCTCAACACACAGGCACCTTCTGCCCAGCACCTCCAGCTAACCCTCTGTGATACCTGCCTCATAACATTTCCCTCCTCCTTCAGCAGGTGCTTTCTTGGCCCTTTAAGAGGGAGCTGCTTCTCAGCCCTGTCTTCAGGGAAAACATCACCCCTGACTTGTCCAAGCCAAAAGCAAACACCCAGGCATTCCCTCTTTGCTGATTCCATGTAAAGTACCCAAGTTCCTGCTTCCTCCTTCTCAGACATGATTGATTATTTAGCCAGACCTTTTCTGTTTAGCCAAATGTCAATGTATGTAGGGAGTGGGGGGGGTGGTGGGGACGCGCTGGTGCTAGTCCCCTGTTAGGTTTATCCATTCCCAGCCAAGGACATATGTGACCTCCTCCAGTCCTGGGCTCTCTGAAGTAAAATCTGGTTCTTGCATTTGACAGCACTATGCAACCTTTAGTCCTCATGCTTTTTTTTTTTTGTTATACTTTTTTCTGAGCCTTGCTGTGCCCCGTCCAGGTCTGTGCTGCAACAAGAGTAGTTCAGAGAGATTAGTAAAATCAGAAGTGGAGGTTATTTAGGGCATGAAGACAGGAGGTGTCTGGGCAGGACATCCTTTGTAATGTTGAGAAAGTAGTGACCTCCCTCAAGCTTCTGTGTTTTGGCTTGAAAAATGAACATAAAACCAGTATCTCCTAGGCAGTGTCAGCCAAGCTTTTCATACACTTCCTTTAGGAAGCATTTGATTCCTAGGAACAGATGAAATCTGAACAGCATAGGGCACAACACAGTTCTCAGGTTGACATTTTTCTGTTGCAGGAGTCTCCTGTGTCTGCAAACAAAGCTGATGCAAAGCTGAGTCTCCCAGTGCTGCTGCTGAAAGTGAAGCCACCCAAACCCATTACAGGTCAGGACTGATTCTGTCCTTTCAACCTGCAGCCTCCGTCAGGTGGCAAAGGAATCATGGCCCTTATGACTACAGAACAGGTCAGAAAGTTTCAGTAGCGTGCTCTCTGGTCCTTTCTGACCTGTCTTTGTAGTTACATCTAATCCTGTAGTATGAATTTCTACTTACCCAACCATCTCACATGTGACCTTTGTTAGCACAAAATACTTCAGTATGTCTCGAAGTGGGTGTCATACGCCTTCAGCTTTGTTGTCGCTGAAGCAGGAGGAGGTTGTTTCCTAGATCCCAGCAACCTGGCAGCACCCCTAGTTCATCACTCTGAGTCCTGGATTAATAGGAAAATGCTGAGGATAAGGAGGGGGCAGACCTTATGCTGAGACACTGTCAGGGAGAATGCCACAGAAAGGCAAGGTGAGCTAGGATGACTTGCCCTAGTCCCTGCATTTAGAGACTGGAAAATGGGCTAGCGATATGGAAAGTCCTACAGAAGATGCAGTGCGTCCCTCTTCAAGACCACGCCACCCTGAAGGAGGGATGGTCAAAGTGCCTCTGAGCCGCTCCATGGTGTCTGCTCCTCCAGGGCTGTGCCTTTTCTCTATTTGTTCCCGATCCAGGCAGTAGTTTTAAAAGCCCTTTGGATGCTTTGAAGAAAGTGGATGATGGCAGCATGCTTGGCTTGGGGTACAATCACCTAATCAAGGAGTCCCAGTGGGAGCAGCAGGAAGCAATCTTCCGCAGGACTTATCGGGAGTATCTGGAGGCCGAGGGTGAGAGAGAGAGCAAAGATGAGATCCCCAGGTGAGTGGGAGCAGTAGCCAGGATTTCAGTCCATGAGACATCCACACAGGGCACTTTCCAAGTGAAGATGGAAGCCTCTGTCTTACCTTTGCCTCCTTCACCGCAAGGCTTCCGGGCAGGGGGCTAGAGCCATTCCAGGTCTGGTTGCAGTGGTGCCTACTTATCAAAGTCTTTATTTTACATATATTTCTTCCTTTTTTTCAGACATGCTACTTTTCATTTTCTCCTGCCTAGCCGGATCCTACAGGTGGGACCTGAAATGAGAGTACAGCCAGGTAATCCAAATGGGCAAAAAACTGTTAACCTATGAAGCACATCGTTGCATGACATTGAGCTCAATGGCTCTGGCTTGGGTTCACTATATACATTCCATCTCCAAGGACATAAGCCTGGATAAAACTGTCAGCCCTAAGACTTATAAGTCAGTTATTGACATAGAGTCAAACAAACTTAGCTCCATAGTCAAAAAAAAAAGCAACCACCCCCCCCCCCCCCCTCAAAATACCAAAACTGATGAGGGGGCACATAGGCAAGATAAAATAGCAAACGAGAGGAAAGTTTGCTCTGGTTTAGTTTCTGTGTGAGCAGAGTTTCTGTAAGTCCTGTCAGGGAAACTGTGAGAGCTCTAATGAGAGCTTTCTAATGGTGTTTTGGTGTCCTGGATTGTTCCTTTCTTTGTCCCCAGTCTCCTTCTCTCTTTTGTCATCCTCTTCTCTGTACCAGATGTTCCAGCTGGCATCAGTGTGCACTGGAATGGAAGCCACAATCTCTGCTTTTACTTACTTAACCGTCCACTCAAGGAGAAAGCGGGTAAGAAAGTCTTGCTTTCTCTAGCAGAGCACTCTGTGGCGAGTGGGAGTCTTCAGTGGCCAGTGCCTGTCATTCAGCCAGTTCTTCATGATTCAGGGCAGTGAGGAATGGGGAGGAGAACTGCCTCGTATCTTGTGGGTTAGACTGGCATTTGGTTTGTGGGGCTCCGTGTTGCACAGGCTGGCAGTACTTTTAGTGAAGCTACTCTGGCAGAAGACCGTGGAATGGTGCAGGTTTTATTGGGAAACTGGATGCTAGTACCATAGGGGAGAATGCTCTGCACCTTCTTACAGTTGTCTCTTTTCATGTCCTTCTGTTTAGACTCTGATCCAAAACCTGATGTTGTGTGGCCATGTGCAGCTCTAATTGCACACTCAGCTGTCAGTTCCTGCTCCAGGTACCTGGCACTGGCATGTGAAGATGCATCAATAGCTGTTTGGGATATGCACCTAGGTGAGCTTGCCCTTTCAGACTGTGTATTGGGACCACTGTGGATAAATTGCTCCCTTCCGTAGGAGTTTGAGGCTCTGGTTTGCTGTGAACGAGGGACTGGCAGTGAGTTTACAAACAAACCTGAAAATAGTTTGGACTTGCCTATTCATCAGACGCTTGGCTAGAAGTTGCCAGTGCAGCGTGACTGCCCTAGCCCCTGCAGAATCGTTCTCGTCCACAGTAGTGCAGGGGCTGTGAACTGCTGTGGCGAGGACTGATGGCCGTCTTGCACCAAGGCTGTGAGACAGTGACAGTCACTGCTTGGCCACTGCACCCTCAGGTCATCTTTGAGGCTGTTGTGGCATCACACTCCAGGCTGCCATCAGTGCTAGTATCATCCTGCCATGATGCAGGGATTCTTCTGGCAGAAGAATCTTCTGCCATCAGGATTGTTCTGGTGGCTGTTGCCTCTGAGCAGGCCACAGTCCAAGCTAAGCTTTCCCTGGATAAATTGCCAGTTCCTTTTTCTTCCTTAAAGGCTGTCTTTTTTTTTTTTTTTCCTTTTTTTTTTTTTGCCATGCTTCCCCAGGATACCCACTGTCTGTGACTGCCATTCTAGAGGAACGTCTCATCCGCAGTATCCACTTCTTGTGGAGTTCTGCAGCTGCCAGCAATGAGACACCTTGTCCTGGTACAGATCCTCCCTGTTCTGTTGTGCAACTTCTAGTGCTGTGTACAGACAGCTCTTTCTACTTGGTGAAAGCACCCATGGCCGGGAAGTCCAGCATCACGCTCCTGGCAGACAGGTGAGGTAAACTCTGATAGACCTCTCTCCAGCCAAAGAAACCATGTGGTACAGTGGTCAAGTCCAGCAGGGAGCCCCCGATTTCTGTGGAGTAAAGAGTTTTTTACTGCTTTTACCCAGATATCTCTGCTGTGCTGCTGTCAGCAGCAAGTGTGGTTTTGCTAGGAGTCGGTTCCAGTACTAAAATCCAACAGTTATGCTGGAATTAGGGGTGTTTTTGGGTTCTTCTATGCACCAGAACAGCAGTGCTTGTAACACGACTCCAGTGCTGATGTTCAACTAGCTGTGTCTCTCCAGGTACCCAGAGGAATTTTTTCTTCTCTCTTCTGCCCTTGCCAGAAAAACTTCCCCTAAAAGTCAGAATAAGCATTTCTTGCCTCTTTCTATAAATTTTATGCTCACTTATCCCCTTGGTTTGAGGAGAAGGGTCAACTCTGGGGAAGCTGCTGCTCTGCAGGGTATGGTTTCATGCCCCCATGGCAGGCAGGGGAATTGTATCTCCAACATAGTCCCTAGGCAGGTTTGCACAGCGATGGGCCTTGGGGGTTCCTGCCCGGGAGGAGGCAGGCTTTGTCTCCAGAGGGAGGATTGTGGCTGGAACTTTATGGCAGCCCATGTGCCATAAACTGCCATTGTTATTATCACAGCCTCTCAGTACATGCCAGGTACGTGAAACGATGGCATAAGTCTGAGTCTGTTTTACAGGCCTGAAGATCCAAATCTTGCTGTCAGCGCGGTGGTGCCTGTCCTGGCATTCCCCGGTGCAGTGAGTATTACTGCCAGCTCTCTTAACAACTGGGTGAGAACACAGGTCCATCTGGCCTAGGATCCTGTTTCCAGTAATGGCTGTGATGTGATGCCTAGAAGATAAAGAACAGGGCAATCAGATATGGTACTGTCATCACATCCTTTCCTGGCCTCCAGCTATTTTTAGTGTGGGGACTTCCTGTACCAGTTACAGGTCTGTGTGTAGCCGGTCGTTCTCAAAGCATTTCTTTTCCATGATCTTCTCAGTATCCCCTTGCAGCCATGTCTTCTAATTGACCACTGAGGGGAGAGGCACTGGAGGCCCTCTGCATGTGGACAGGTCCAACTGCAAAGATGAGAGGGTTCAGCCATGAAGCTTCAGGCATCAGGGTCAAATATGAGAGGGCATTATGGTAATGAGAAGTTACAAGTGCAAGTCCAGCCAGGCCTTTCAAGTGGCCTCAGAAATTTTTTCAGGCATGGGGAGAAAAGGACTAGAAGCTGCTTGCCAAGCCAGCCACAGAGAAGGCTGCATCCAGTTCATTTCTAACCTGCCCCGCTGACCTTTTCCAATCCCAACCTGCTGCAACTCCAGTCCATGTGGAGAGGGACCTGGGTGTCCTGGTGGACGACAGGTTAACCATGAGCCAGCAGTGTGCCCTGACTGCCAAGAAGGCCAATGGGATCCTGGGGTGCATCAAAAAGAGTGTGGCCAGCAGGACGAGGGAGGTTCTCCTTCCCCTCTACACTGCCCTGGTGAGGCCTCATCTGGAGTACTCTGTCCCGTTCTGGGCTCCCCAGTCTGCAATGGGGCCTAATAAATGCTTATAAATATGTCAAGGGTGGGTGTCAGGAGGATGGGGCCAAGCTCTTTTCAGTGGTGCCCAATGACAGGACAAGGGGCAATGGGCACAAACTGAGGCACAGAAAGTTCCGTCTGAACGTGAGGAAGAACTTCTTCCCTCTGAGGGTGATGGAGCCCTGGAACGGGCTGCCCAGGGAGGTTGTGGAGTCTCCTTCTCTGGAGATATTCAAGACCCACCTGGACAAGGTCCTGTGCAGCCTGCTGTAGGTGACCCTGCTTCGGCAGGAGGGTTGGACTAGATGACCCACAGAGCTCCCTTCCAACCCCTACCATTCTGTGATTCTGTGTGATTGACTGGCTGTGGCCCTATGGCTACTGGACAGGCAAAGAGAACAGCATCGTAGTTGGGGATGTGAAGTCCTGAATGTCATTCCATGTGCTTGCCAGGAAATGTCTTTCACTTATTTTACATCGGTTTCTAAGTGTCACCTTGCTGTTTCAGGCCCTGGTCTTCTCCTGGGATGGCACAGTGTCCCTGATGAACACTGCCACATCGCAGATTGTTTACTGCTTCAGTACTCCACCTACCCATGCTGTAGCATCCCCTTGGCAGCCAGTGTTCATAGTGGATAGTGCGAATTTGTGCTTGCTGCTTCGAGGTGGGTAGCACCTTGGAGTGGTCTTAGATACATGGGCACTGGATGCATTCAGCTGTGCACTGATCCTTGATAGTTCTTCCTGTTGGATGGCTCCTGAAAAAAAAAAAAAAAAAAAAAAAGCACTATTTTTGTTTCTGTCTAGGAGATAAGCAGCAGCAAGAAGATGCATTGGCACAGAGCACAGCCAGTCACAGCACCATCTTCCTTTTTGACTTCAACTCCTATCCACTGAAGGAAGCTTTCCCAAAGGAACCAGATTTGCCTCTCAGATCCTTGCAGAACCTGCCATTGGTTGAGAGATGTAGCATTTTCTTACGTGATAGGTAAGGTTCTCCTTCTGCCGCATAGGTAAGTGCACCCGCATTATTGTAAGCTGTGGTGTTGCTTGGGTCTATACAAGGTCTCACCCTGAGGCTTCTGGGTTCTTCTGTGTGCTGTGACAGATTTATGTCTCGGTAAGGTTGATGTTCACGTAGGTGGATCCCTGACAGCCACCCAGAACCCTTCCTCCTCTCCCTTTTGTCCTTCCTAGAACAACAGCTGTAAGTCAAGATGCCTGGGGCAGTCTTGTCATCCCAGGCAGAGAAGGTGAGCTAGTTCTAATGTGCTTTTGTGCAACACAGGTTGTGCAAGCTTGTCAGGGAATATGATCCTCACTTCAGTGTCTGTGTTTTCCTTTTGACCCCATAGCCAGACAGAACTCGGATCTCTTGACACCTTGCTCCTCCCCTCTAATCCTAGGGTCATTTGATGTTTAAGCAGATTTGTGTTGGAGGTTTCTCATAGAATCATAGAATCGTTAAAGTTGGAAAAGACCTCTAAGATCATCAAGTCCAACCGTCACCCCACCACCACCATGCCTGCTAAACCATGTCCAGAAGTGCCACGTCTACACGTTTTTTGAACACCTCCAGAGATGGTGACTCCATCACTTCCCTGGGCAGTGCTTGACCACTCTTTCAGTAAAGATTTTTTTCCTAATATCCGATCTAAACCTCCCCTGATGCGACTTGAGGCTATTTCCTCTTGTCCTATCGCTAGTTACTTGGGAGAAGAGACCAACACCCACCTCACTACAGTCCTCCTTTCACGTAGTTGTAGAGAGCGATAAGGTCTCCCCTCAGCCTCCTCTTCTCCAGACTAAACAGCCCCAGTTCCCTCAGCCGCTCCTCATCAGACTTGTTCTCCAGATCCCTCACCAGCCTCGCTGCCCTTCTCTGGACACGCTGCAGCACCTCAATGTCCTTCTTATAGTGAGGGGCTCAAAACTGAACACAGCACTCGAGGTGTGGCCTCACCAGTGCTGAGTACAGGGACACGATTACTTCCCTAATCTTGTAGGCCACGCTATTACTAATACAAGCCAGGATGCCGTTGGCCTTCTTGGCCACCTGGGCACACTGCTGGCTTATGTTCAGCCACATTTGCTTTGAGAAGGTCCCCAGCACCCTCAGGCCGAGGTTGCAGTCAGAGCTTAGCTGATGCATTGAGTTCCTGCTGTCACTAGATGGCAATGTGACATCTCTTATTGGGTGACATTGTCCTTTAATTACTTCTTTTGGGAACCTGGCTCTAGACTGTGTCAATTATATTGTTTGTTCTTTTCACTATGCCTTAATTCTCCAATTTGAAATGGAATAGGTGGGTGCAGGTATGACCTTACAGCACATATTACCTGGTAGCCTTCCCTAATTCCTTGTCTCCAGGGTGAATCCTGTGGTGTTGTCAGGCTAGTTAAGAGCAGAAAAGTTCATCCTATGCTATCAGCCACCAGTTCTGTCCCTCCTGCTCATAAAGCTCTAGAAGAGACTCTTGTCTGCCTTACACCAGAAAAATCGGGAAGCATCACCTCTAGGGGTACCTTTATCCCTGGGTACTGAGAGCTGAAGCCAGAGGAGAGCAAGCATAACTGCAGTGAGACCTGCGTCTACAGAGGCTAACAGGCAAAGAGAAATATGGAGGTCATTGCTGTCAAGAGCAGTAAACTTGGGTGCTGAGTGGCATGAGGGAATCACTGAGATTTTTTGGACACAAGAAGTCTGAACTGCTTAATTTGTGGTGAGCCCCAGGGAGCCTTGGGGGGACAAGGCTGAGGTTGTCTGAGCACCAGGGGAATGGCAGGGACTGTTTTAACCACCCTTTTCTCCCCTTGTTAGGCAGCAGAGCCTGCTGGGACTCAGGGAGGAGTTGCCCGAGTACTGGAGTCGGCTGCAGGCACAAGCAGCTGCCATGGACAAGGAGAGACAGAAAGTGAAGGGACAGAAGAAGTCAGCCTTGCATCCTGAAGGCCAGGCTCTGCTCTATCACAATCCTGCAGACCTGTGATCCAGCACTGATATTTTGCCAGCGACTCTATTCACTTCCAGCCTGCTGCTTTCTAGCCTGGGGCAATTTGCCATCCGAAATAGCTGCTTGCCCGCCTCTGCTGAGCCCCAAGGATCTGCGCCCTGCCTCTCCCCTTACTTAACCCTCAACCTGTTCCAGCAGGGCTCAGCCCCTCCTCATCAGAGATAAACGCTGCTGATGGAAGAATCTCGAGGTAGGAAAGGCCTCTCACTGAGCTGACAGGCCCAGCATCCGTGTGGTTCAGCTAAAGATTTGTGCTGGATGTCCGAGTCCTCCCGGAGACCTGGAGCATTAGAGCAATATGGTATGTTACAATGTCCCTCCTTAATAAAGCCTTTTCTCCAGTAAATGTCTCTTATTCTTCACAGGACTGGCATCTTACCAGACTCTGATGTTCTGTCCTTCTGTTGCTGGGGCTCACTGATGTGTCTCGTCTTCTGCTCTGACCCAGATAGTCAGGCAGCAGCATCCTTGTGCTTAGCGAGAGACCTGGTCTTTTCAGACCAGGCAGCAAAGCAGCCATGAAAGTGGCATCCTCCAGAGCACAGCAGGGCCAAGCAGCAGTGACCCTGCAGAGTGTGTGAGGCCTGCACTAGGCTGTTCCCCAGTCTAGCTGTTTCTTTTGACTTCAAATCAGGCAGCTTTGGGACAAGACTGCTTAGGGACTGCAGCCTGGAAATGTGCAGACAAGCTCTCTAGGTTAAGGTCAGGCTAGAACTGAGCCAAGAACTGATGTCATTGAGGAGCAGGACAGAGCTGGGGTGTTTCGAGAAATCGGGGCTGCGTTGAGACAAAGACAGTCCAGGAGCATGGCCAGCACGTTGGTCAGAGGCCATAAAAAGCTGAAGCATCCCTCCTACAAGCAATACGGGACAAAGAACTAGCAGGGGCAATGCAAGGCCAAGCATCCACGTATTTATTTCTTTCTCCAGAAGTGTATTAAGTTAGTAGCCGGCCTTGTATAGTTGACAGACAGGGTAAAAAACTGTGCAGGCTCCCCAGTCAGTCTTTCACTGGTAAGTATTTTCAGGCCTGAGTCCCATGGGAGACTGGCAGCATCTAGGTGTTAGCTGCAGAGTTTACTTGCTCAGTCGGGGGCTGACAGCACAACTACATTTTGCACTGGGCATCTTTGTTGCTCTTCAGGCAGTCAGGGGCCCTCGGGAACTTGAGGGGCTTTAGGTGAGGTGAACCAAACTATCCGTTTTTGAGCATAGCAAACATATGCTTTCTTGAGCATAAAATCCACAAGAAAGCCTGAGTCTTTTTACAACTGATCCTGCTTCCAGAATGACTGCCTAATCCACAAAGAATCTGACAAATCTGCCAGCAACCACTCCAATCAGTGTGCATGGGTGAGCTGTAATTTTTCCAGATCTCCCTCTCATGACTCCCCCAAGGTTCAGCAAAGCGTCAATGCAGGGTGCCAGGGGTTCAGCACAGACTGAGCTATGTAGGCACTCCCATGCCAAGGTCCCATTTCACTTTTTCATAGCAAGTTGTCTTGTTTTGGATTGAGTTTTGACGAGAGGTCTCAGCTCATCCTCTGGAAATAAAGTCAGACAGTCTTTTGTGGAGGTAGGGAAGGGGAGAAGCATTCCACTTGTTTCACAGTTTCAGATGCCTGGTTTTGCTGTGGAGAAGGACAAGCTATTTGAATTAAACCTTCCTATTTGCTACCTTTGTGAAGGGCTTTGGAGGCCATAGTAAAGCCTTTTGTGCTGTCATTTTCCATCTGCCACAGATTACAGCTTCACAGCTCATCTGATCGTTGTGGATATTGATACTGGGTTATGTCAGCACTTGCCATCTGCTTCAGTGCGAAGTCAAGCGGGTTAGCTCAAGCCACCTTCAATGCCTTTTCAGACTTAGCCACCTGGTTCTGTCTGCACTGAAGTGAACAAGGAACAATCCTTCATCCTTTCTTCTGTTCTTGCTGTGGTGGCAGTAACAACTGAATTATTTTGTTTCTGTGGTACTTTAAGAAACAATGGCCCTTCTGCCACAACTGGGCACAGGGGATTACTCAGGGCAGGAATTCCTGTTCCTACATTGTTTCCCATGCTGCAGAGAGCCAGAACAACTAGTACGTGGCCCCTCAAACAGCACTGGCTCTAGTTCTTGCTATTTGTGCAAATGTAAAGGGCTTGGGGATCTGTGCCCTTAATCCTACTGCATCTGCTTTCCATCCAGAAGAGGAGCAGGGCTTGCCTAGCATCAGAAGAAGAGGCAGAACAGGATCTGCTAAACAGTTAGATGTACTGTGCATCCACCAGTTTGTGTGTATTCATCTCAAGATGTGCTTGTTTGTTTGCAGTTTGAATTTGCTCTAAAACCCTAATCATGTGCTTGGCCAAGATAACCAGGAGCTGGCAGGCTCCACAGAGAAAGGAAAACAACAAGCAGCTGCAGGAGGCTGATGAAGAGCCTTTGTTTTTACTCATGACTTCAGCAGGGGACCATTTGTTTCCTGCTTCTTCGAAGTGATACAGAAAAATTGGTATGATCAGTGTGTTGACATGTGCGTCTGTGATGGAGCTGTGTGCTGAGCTCCACAGCACGCTCTGGAGAGGACCAGAGGCGCCCGATTTCTTCTTCCGAAGATGACACCCTTGCCAGCTATTCTTCCATTCCTGGACACTCAGTGAGCCCCAGGCAGCTGTAGGTCTGAAACAAGTTGAGCTATTCTGCTGCTGGAAACTACGGAAGGGCCTTGAGAAGTATCATAAATATCACCATCAAAAGATGAAACTGTAAGAGTTCTGTCTGGGCCAACTCCTAGCTCAGTGCCAAGTTCAACGAACTCAGACGTGCTGCCTGGGTATAACAGGAGCAATTTGGCTCTGTATTTTTAAAAAAGGTAAAATAAAGCTGAAAAATCGGTTGGTGGATTGAAGAGGCTTGTGAGGGGGAGGAAGAGGAGCCCAGGCCCACAGAGAGGCGCTCGAGGAGCATCGTTCCCGCAGAGCTGGGCTCCTGCCCAGCCAGGCAGAGGTGGTTTCTGTGGGAGAGGAGGCTGTTCTCTAATCTCCCTAAATTATCTGCTGTTCTCTGCAAGAAGCCAAATGTCATCTTGCTCCTTTGCATACTTGCTTGTGCTGTGGAAGCAGGAGAAATCAGAGGCTGATCTGATAAGATTCCCCCACTCCTGAGGGCCAGCAAAGGTTTGGGCTGTTTGGGTAAGCCATGTTTGTGCTGGTGGAAGGAGCATGATCCTCAGAAGAGCTGAAGTGTTGTGTGCTCCAGGAGCTGCACTCCTTGCATTCGTGTTGCTAGCCTGAATGCAACAACCCACGCATCCCGTAGTACCATGTACCACGTACAACCTGAAGCCATCCTAAGGAGGAATCTGCAAAGACCTCTCTGTGCTATCCAGGCGAGTAATGTTCCTGCAAGACACTGTGCCTAGGACAGGGCAGTCCCAGCAAGTGCTTGCTCCGTTTGCTCTGCAAGTAGGAGCACCTTGGGTGTAGGGGCATCACAAGGCCAAGCTTCCTCCCCTGCTCTACAAGTTTGGCTGTAGATATAGGTGAACCAGGTACCGCATTCCATTCCTAACTGCTCAGATAGCTCTCGTTGTCCAAACTAGTGTCGCCTCATTACCTCTAATGCCAGTTCCCTGTACCAGAGTGCAGCTTCTCGTCTCCCTTGGAGTCCAGGCTATGGCTGTTCAGCCAGACTACGCACATTAACTCTTTCAAAATCCCTAATGCATTGCGCCAGACATCTCAGTCTGTTTTAATTTTGGGTTTCTGCAAACCCCTTCCAGTTTGTTCCTGTTTCTGTTCCAGTTTGTTGTTGTCCAGTGTTTCTGGTACGGCTCTGTCCAGGGCCTGGTACAATGTGTGGTCACTCAGAGGGTGGGGGAGCCATGTTCAGCTGCCCTTCACACCTGATGTTGCAAGGCATGAGAAATGAGAAATAGAATGAGAAATGAGCTGTGTTTTCGAGGCCAAAATACAGGAGGCAGTTGGCTAGGTGTAGCTGAGGGTGCCAGAAAGATAAGAGATCTGCATGATGACTAGGGTGATGCTGTGTTTTGGCTATTGCCCCATGGATTTACAGGCAGGCGACACAGCTGAAGATGTACAGGGCTCGTGCCAGGAAGAACTCGCACCCTACGCAAGCCAAGTGCCGGGGCTGGGGTGTACCGCGGCAGACTGGCCGTGCAGCAGGAGAGGATCTGCCGTCGCAAGACCCAGGCTTCGTGTGGCACACCTCTGTGCAGTGCCACGTGTGGGCTCGCCCCGGGAAAGTCCATGCTTGAAGAGGAGGGGAAGGCCAATGACTCACGTCACTGCAGGGCTGCTGATGAGGCGGGAGGGAGATGTACAGTAGCTGAATGGCAAATTGGCCTCGGCTGCCAAGTGTGAAACACTTTGCCTCCAGCACGCCAACAGCTTGCTTTGTTAGAAACTTTGCATGTCAGCCTGCTCGAGCAAAAGGCAGCTCTTCTGCACGTGAAGGGCTGGAGAGAGGGAATAGGTGTGCGTTGTGAGGGGGTGTGCACAGGAGAGGGAGAGCTCGAGGGGAAAAAAAACAAGTCCCGCACTGAGCTGTGAGGAAGAAACACTAATTAGGCAAGGAAGAGGAACCTGCCAGGTTGCAATCCTGACCTAACAACCAATTATAGGATAATATAGCACAGTAATGCAAGGTAAACACTACATTTCTGAAGTAATTCCTTTTTGAAACACAGTGATCATTTGAAAACATCTGGTATTCTAATTTTAAACTGCCCATCATAGATGCCAGCACAGCCCGTGGTAAATTGTCCCAGTTGTTAACTACGTGTGTTGTCTGAATTTGCACCCTGTTTCTAATTTGAATAGGTCATGTTCCAGCTTCCAGTCACTGGACCTTCCTGGATCTCTGGGAGATGGAAGAGCCCAAGAGCAAAAGGTGTGGCTCGTGTGGAGGGACTTACAAGCCGTGTGTGTGTGTAAAGCAGATACAGGGAGACTAAACAGTTCTCAGTG